ACACCGACTCCGTCATGTGCCGGTTTGGCGTCTCCTCCGTGGCGGAAGCGATGGCTCTGGGCCGGGAGGCTGCAGACTGGGTGTCCGGCCACTTCCCCTCCCCCATCCGGCTGGAGTTTGAGAAGGTAAGGCCCCTTGCCCTGGGCTTGGGGTGGGCAGGTGAGGGTCTTGGCAGTTTCGGGGGGCCTCTTTCTCAGGGTGCCTGCAAAGCTCACAGGTGCCTACATTTGGGGTTCCCCTGGTCAGCATCTGGGAAACCCCAGTCTTTGCAGGGTCTCCCTTTTGGGGTGCCCGATTGGGGTACTCAGGGGGTCCCGTTCTTTGGGTTCATGGGCCCTCGTGTCAAGGTATTTTGCTGCCGGATCCTCCTGAGTTTGGGGCCTTGGCTATCGAAACCGCCAGAGCCTGGGCTCCGCACGCTGCGTGCTGTTTTGTGACAACCGGTCGGTCTCGGGGCGCCTCTGGTGTGGTTTCCCAGCACCTGTCGGGGGGTCTGTCCTGGGTGGCGGGGACTCTGACGGGCCAGGCCTGGGTCAGGGAGCCATTGTCTTGGGTTCCCGGCTCCTGGTGTGTGGCAGGCAGGGGTGGGGGGCTCTCACCGGGCTTTGTCCTCAGGGTTCAAACCAGGTCAGGCCAGGGGCACCCCTGCTCTTGGAATCAGAGCCTCCCAGTTTGGGAGGTCTGTGCCTCGGGGCTCACTCCGGGCCTTGGCCTCCTCTCTGGGGGTGCCCCCTTCTGCCTCAGCTTCTGCCCCAGACCCAGATTTGGGGCTTTCAAGGCTTTAGCCCAGAGTCTGGATCTCATGTTTGGGGCCTGTTTCTAGGTTTGTCCCAGCCTCTGATTTAGACTTGGGGACCCTGGTCTGGGGTTCCCTGGAAAGCTGAGGGTGTTCCCAGGCTCAGGTGTTGGGGTCTCAGGGTCCAGTCCCCCAGGCATCCCAACCCCACATCGCAGGAACCATACCTGCCTGTCACTTTCTGGGGGGTCTCAGGATTGGACACCCTGCAGTCTCAGGGGCCTCAGCCACGGGTTCCCCTCCCAGGTCTACTTCCCTTACCTGCTCATCAGCAAGAAGCGCTATGCTGGCCTGCTCTTCTCCTCCCGGCCGGACGCCCATGACCGCATGGACTGCAAGGGCCTGGAGGCTGTGCGCAGGGACAACTGCCCCCTGGTGGCCAACCTCGTCACCGCATCACTTCGCCGCCTGCTCATCGACCGGTGTGTGAGATGAGACCCCTGGATTCAGACCCCAGTCCCCCTCCCTCAGACCCGGGAGCCCGCCCCTCCTCCCTTGGGGACACGGGGGTCAGGCCCGCTTTTCTTCAGTGAGAAGCTTTTCGTTAGTGAGAAGCGGTGGGAAGCGTGTAGGGTTGGGCAGCTGTGGGGTTGTAGCCTGTGGCTGAGCAGACGCCCCGTCCTGGACCTCAGCCCGGAGCCCGTCCTCGTCCCCAGCCTTGGGGGCGTGGAGGTGCCAGCCTGGCCCTCAGCAGCCACTGGTGACGCCCCATCTGGCCCACAGAGACCCCGAGGGTGCCGTGTCCCACGCACAGGACGTCATCTCGGACCTGCTGTGCAACCGCATCGACATCTCGCAGCTGGTCATCACCAAGGAGCTGACCCGCGCGGCCGCCGACTACGCCGGCAAGCAGGCCCACGTGGAGCTGGCCGAGAGGTCCGCTGGGGGCCTGGCCGTCCAGAAATAGCCCCTCCAGCCCGCCGAGCCCACCACTTCCTGGCCCCGCCCATCCGCCGTCCACCTGCCCTCACCCACCCTCTCCCCGCAGGATGAGGAAGCGGGACCCCGGGAGCGCGCCCAGCCTGGGAGACCGGGTGCCCTACGTGATCATCGGGGCCGCCAAGGGCGTGGCTGCCTACATGAAGTCCGAGGTCAGGCCCACCTGGCTGCCCGCCGCCCAGCCCGCCCGCTCTCACTTCTGCTTTCCGCGGTGGGAAGGTGTTTCCCTCTGTGGGCCCCGTGGGGCCCTGCCAGCCGCCCCAGCACACCCGGGCGTCGGCTCCAGGATGCTCTGCTCCCAGGCCGCTGTGCCCTCTGGAGGGTGCCCCCACCCCCAGTGTCTGACCTCTCCCTAGCTCCCCCTGGCGTGGGGTTCAGCCTCGCTGCACAGGGCGTCCCTCCACCTCTGTCTCTGTGTCTGTGTCCCCTTCTGTCTCCTTGGCCCTCGTTCTCCAACCTCTGGGTTCCTGAGATCTGTACCCTCCTCCATCCTGCCCAGACGTCTGTAACCTCTGACCTAGTTCTTGTCCCCCTTCATCCTTCATCGCTGTGACCTCTGACCCTTCCTTGATTACCTGAGGGCCCCACCTGTGGACCTCAGCATGGATCACAGAGCCTGTGGCCAGGGACCCCCAATGACCTGTGACCCCATCCCAGACCCCCCCACCCCCTTCCTTGATGCCGCTCCCCACAGGGCAGCGCTGTGCCCAGGAACTGCCGCACACCGTGGTCCCAGTCATGACTGGGGGAGCCCTCGGTGTTCTCATTGCCTGTCGCCCGGTGTCCTCTGTCCCAGCCCCCCAGTCCCTCCACTGCTCTGGCCCTGGAGTGACCCTGCGCTCTGCCCGCAGGACCCCCTGTTCGTGCTGGAGCACAGCCTGCCCATCGACACGCAGTACTACCTGGAGCAGC